GTTGCGTGAAATCGTTTGCCCATACATCAAAGAATACATCAAGTTAAAGTGGGTGAAGGCGGTGGACTATGCTGTACAAGCTAAATTGTTCATCTACGAACTACCCAGTTCGAGTGGCTCAAGTCGTTCAATGGATAAAAATCCTCGTATACTTTATTCCGATGAAGATATTGAATTTGAGGGCGACAGCAAAACATGCATTGCGTTGGATAAGCCGGTCATAATTCGACGTGGTTTCAAGTACCGAATTCGATTCGAACTAGACGTTGAAAATTACCCTTTGTGCACCAACATCGAATATCACTCTCAAAAAGTAAAACTCGACCAAGGAACCACAATTCAATTCCATAGCCCCGATGAAGGCAGCACACAAGGACTGATTTATGGCATGAAATTCAACCGCATTTAAAGGCGATCGCAGTTTGAAAAGGTTTGACCAATCGAAAGTTTAGTTAGAATTGAGAAAAAGAATCTGAACAATAGATAATCAACAGTTGTAACTGAACATTTTTTTCGATTACAGACTGTAAAACGAAGGAAGGCTATGGAGGACAAAACGATATTAGCATAGAGAGTAAGGAACACACTATGAAAAGGCGGAGAAATCGACATTTAAATTTTAATAACGAATTACAACTTAACTCATTCCATTGACTGGATTCTAAAATAGACAAAAAACTAAATCAACGTGTAGTTCAATATTTTTTATGGTTCGATTTTCAAATTTATTATTACGATCTAAGCTATGGCCAACCATTTTTTGTTTTGTCAAAAGTTGTACATGTTTTGGGATTATTATGTTCAAGCATACGTATTCACTTGAATTGCGTATAAAATAAAGACTTTAAATTGTGATTTGGCTCTGACACTTTTCATTCTTGTGTTCATTCCGACGATGAAGTTACATGTTCATATTGGGGAGAGAGAGAGAGTGCAACACTGCGGCTGTATTTTCCAATAAAATTCCCAGAAAACCAATTGGCTTCATCGGGTTGTTCTATGGTTGCAATTCAATTGTCAATCGAGTCATCAAATTGTTGGACCAAGTATTGAAAGCGAGGGGCAAATCACTCTAAGTCTTGTCTGAAAGCATATATATCTCTTTCAACGTTCACATTCACGTTCACCATGGCATCTATTCCCAAATTCATTGTTGAACAAATCAATATGTGGATACAACATCGTATGTGTTACACTGCAATTAAGACTTGTTCACAATTATGTCGAGCTGGTCGTTGGCTCAACACTACCACATTAATGACTGTCTTTGTGTGCGTCATGGGAGGAATATGCGGACACGAACAAATAAGGTAATCAGCATCGAAAAAAACCATCCATTCGTTCGATTAGAAAATAACAACTAGGCCGAGTCGTGAAAATTGGATGCGAAGCAATGTATACGAATAATGTCATGAATACTGCCGACAGATACAATATAAAATTGCCTCTGACTTTCCGTATAATCCTTGGATTCTTTTCTATTAAATTCGATTGTTGCAATGCTCAGCCGGTGAGAGCTTGTCAAACGACCTGCCAGTTCATATAAAAATCACTCATTGTTTGCTGAATGAAGGACGTCATTGTTTAAATCTGTGTGCTATATTCTTATTTAATCGAAAGAAAGGGGTTCTGTTTCAGAATACCATGAATTCATTCTTAATTGGTGTATATTTTGTGTAAATTTGTATTTTGTTTCGATCGATTATCAGAATGCACCATTTTTTGCTGAAATAAACTCATGTGACGGGTTCAGAGAATGGCATACAAACGAGTGCTTCATGTAGAATACGACGCATTGTCTGTTTGTTTATTTATTTATTTTGATCAATGTTGTATTTGTTCTAGTGACACTGGCCGATGAACGCAATTTTGTTTCTAACTCAAAGCTGAACGACGTATATAGAACCGATTGTATTTTCGGATTTGCAGATTGCAAAGGAAATATGAGCAGTGAATTTTCGTGATGAAATGCATCTTTTAGACTGAACCAGTTTCCATGGCGTCAACATGGATTGGTTTCAGTGGTGGCGAACGGTACGGAGTATCAAGACCTGTCAACACAACGCTTCATCACACAAGAGCTGCAGCAAATTTGCATGTTTGAGTTGGATCACTGAACAAGAACGACGTAAGATTGCTGTTGATTTATTTCTTTGCTCTTTTGAATGGTTTTGAACAAAAGTTTGATGATTCGCGAAGTAAATTCAATTGAAGTGAATAAACCATGATTTTTTCTTTCAGGCAAAATGGGCAATTCACCATCAAAATCTGATGTGGAAGCATCACAGCCAGCAAAGCGGTCGTGCAACCAGAGTTGCAGTGAAATCACCAGTCCGAAGAAGCCAAAGATCACTGTCGATCCATTGCACCTGACCGATATCAACGATGATTGTTTGGAGGTGATTTTCAAGTGTTTGGGTTGGGCCGATTTGGTGAATGTTGCCGACAGTGATGAACGCTTCGTTGGTGTCGCACAATCCGTTTATTCCCGTCGCTATCAATCGAAGGCAGTCTCTTTGAACCTCAATGCAATTGACTTCAAAGCAGCACACGATAAAAAAGCACACGCTGACCCCAAGATTGGAAAAGAAATTGCCGAGGCATTCTTTCGTCAATTCGGTCACTTGGTTTCGAGTGTGTCGTTCAATTCCATGGCTCAGTATGCAATCAACATTGAGAAATCGCTGCTGAAACACTGTGCCGATTCACTGACAGCTTTGGAATTGCTTTTGTGTCGTCACATCAACTTTGAAACACTCAACGAACCGCTGGAAAAGGTCGAGAGCCTAGCAATCACCAAAAGTTTCTTGGGTCAAAAGTTGTCGAAGCTGAACATTTGGTTCCCGTAAATATTAGTTTTTTATTTTTCGTATTTTCATCCATTATTATGCTTCCAGTTTTAATAACCGATCTAATTATAGGAATCTCGTCAGTTTACGATTGGTCCAAGTGGAATTGCAGCAACCCAAGGCATTGGAAGTAAACTTCGCACAGCTCAAGCAATTGGTGATTTACAACGAAGACCAGACCATTCCACAAGCAACAATCGGTGAACTGCTACGATTCAATCCACAGCTCAAGACGCTGATTTTGCAGTGCAAATTGGATGTTGATTTTCTTCAGCGCATCGCCGAATGTACGTCGCTGGTGGAAACGCTTGAGCTATGGGCGCCAAATGACCGATTCGAGAGCTTCGGTGAGCAAAAGGTTTCATTTGAAGGTGTCAAGAAATTCAAGTTGAACAGTTGGTTCCATTGGGGCGAATTTCTTCTCGGCGTGCCATTTAAGTTCAGCAAACTGGACAAATTGTCGCTGAATGGATTCAACGAGTTCAAGGGCGAAATGTTGAATTTCATCAAGCAAAATCAAGATGTCACCGAACTCAGTTTGCTGCCGATTCTTGATGACTGGGATGATTTGACGTTTGATGACTTGGAATCAATCGTCGTGTCGCTTCCGAAATTGGTTGAATTGGAATTTTGTGGTGACCTGTTCACCCGAAAAGAGTTAATACTGTTGCTGTCGAAAAACAAGGACTTGAAGAAAGTGCGGCTTTGGATGCCTGAGTGCGATTTCGGTTCCCCAAAATTTTGCCGTTTCCGAAGTGCCACCGAAGTTGAATGGATCATCACGACACATTCGGTCAACACGAAAAGTTGTGGAAATAACAAGCGATACGGTTATATCAAACTTGAACGCCAGAGTTGATTGAATTAACACACAAATTATGCATATTTTTTATGTTTCCTCAAATCTCATTTATTTGTTCTTCGGAGAATACATTTATTTTATTCAGAGTTTAACCATTTCTTATGATATGAAAAAAATAGAATTATTGAGCAAAAGAAAGATTGGTTGTTAGAAGATTGTAGAAAAGATAAAAAAAATCGTAAACATACAATGGAATCGATATGAATGAAGCTATTGTTTGAAAATCAGTTCAGTTTCAAAGTCCTGAATAAAGATTTGCTTGAAAATTCCAGTATTTGTATTTCGTCCTTTTCTCATGCACTCAATGGTAAAGTTAGAGGCTTGTTGCTCAGTAGCAGATGGATATAAATGTGAACAACCGCACCAATTTCATCGCACCATTCAGTTCGATCGTACTTCTTCAAGAAATTGACACACTTGTCGGTGACTTTTTGTATTTGTTCGGTGTTACTGTGATCCAAAGGAAGTTTAGTTAGTACAATAGACTGGAAATCGGGGTCGAAAAGGAATTGTCGTCGCTCTTCCGACGTTGCAGCAACACCTTTACACCGCGTACAGGAACAGATCATCTTGCGACGTTCCCATAGGATTTTTTGCCGCTTATCTTTCGATTCCACCAGGAACATGAAGCAGGAGAATGTAAGACGGTCGCCCTTCTTAATAGGTCGAATTGTCATGAATATGTGGTTTCCATCACCCTCAGCCGTCACCACATTCGGCGCACACGAGTGCCTGAAATACTTCTCGATGAGTCCCGTGGGATTGTAACAAGTGACAAGTCGCCCTTGATTCATGCCCGACAGCAACTTCACGCTTCCTTGAACCGAATTGTTCTCGAGAATTTGAATATGATAGAAGACAAGATGCATCAAGAAACGACGAAGTTTTTTGGTTCTGAAAAATGCATCGACCTTGGGCATATTCAGGAGTTGATTGTACACCTCATAAGTTAAGCACATCATTTGGTCGGGGCTGATCATGCTTTCGTTGATTGGCAATTTCAAGAACGCTTCGTATTGCGACTTTTGGTTTGACAATGAATCGGGCAAACATGTTGGGTTCGATTTGATGGTTTCTTCGACGAATTCCTCGAGTTCGTCTGCGGTCGAGAACATATTGATGGCCAGCAAAATTCCTCTCACATCGTTCATCAGCGAACCGTTGAGCTGGCTGTTAGTTGAATATACCAAGCCACATTCGTAGTCGTGAAGCGGATTGTGTCGACACTTGTCGGAGCAAAACATCGCGATCGCACACTTTTCACACGGGATCAGGTTGGTATAACCTTTCAAGCAGATATTGCATTTCTGTGCTTTGAGCTCGAACAGGTAGACCAGGAATACTTTTTCCACCACAATCGTTTGGCCAATATCAATGTCTGCTTTGGCTACGACCGAGTAATCACCATCGGCGTCGCGTTCAATGTCCACTACATTTGCCATGCACGGAAACTTTTCGTTTGGTTCGAAATCCAATTTGGTGCGGAAATGTTCAGATCGAGACCGGCCTTCTTTGATTTCTTTCAAACAGTCAATCTTTCGCTGATCCAATTTCGGCATCAATTCCGCTGGGTAGCCGGCTTCCTTGGCCAATTCAATATCCCGTAGACATTCATCGAGACGTTTCATTTTGAGGAAACAAGCCGCACGATTTGCATACGCTAAGCTGATGTTTTTCGATCCAGGTTGAGCGTGGCAAATACTTTCGTTGTACAATTCCAATGCGTCAACCCAACGGCTTTGACCAAAGTGTTCGTTTCCTTCTTTTCGCTTTTGCAACGATATTGAATCGTTTTTGATTGGCTTTTGTCCAGGTTTGGTTTGCGCTCGTAGATTTCTCGTCATTAACTTCAATCTTGCCTCTCCTCCGCTCAGAGCAAAAAGGTCTGCGTACAACGCGTTTGCTTTGTTCGATTCCTTTTGCCACAACATGAAAAAATCTAAGAACGAACAAATGTATTAGGCTGTGAAAATTTGGAAATTATTTTGATATAATTTAGATTGCTTACGTTGATGTGTTTGAGATGAAAATCAAAAATAAACTTCGGCTTCTTTTCGATGGTGATCAATGGTAAAAGTCGGAGCAGAATGTTATACTTTTTTCTGGGTTCAAGGTCAATAGAAATGGCGAACAGAGGATTCAATTTTTCAACGTCAACTACGTTCTTCTCTACTTATCACATTAAGTCACTGAAGTCAAACCAAGAAAATATAATGAATAATAAAGGATCAGGCTTATCACCTTTTATATTTATATCATTAATACATGTCTTTTATTCTCATTTTCTTTTCTGTAATCTTGAGTCAAACCGTTTGTGTCCGTATGTTTTGCCAAACGTATGTAAACTATCACAAAACGAGTTCCATAGAAATCACATGTGTATACGCTACGCATCTACATTCTCGTTACACATCTACATATATATATATCCACACAGCCAGCCGCATTCTTCACACAGCGTTCTGCGCGTTTGTGTGCTAGTCGATGTGTGTTTGTATTCTCAATTTCGCAAGATCATTGTGGTGGATACTGCAATTCATAAACAAAGCTGTAGCGCCATTCAAACACAATGTTTGTTTTTGTATTAGTTAGTTTATGTTTGCTGAATTTCGGTCGCGTTCGGCTTATGTGAAAAGGAGTTGCGCTGAATACGTAAATGATTAGGCTCATAGCATTTCCATATTTTACGTAATGCAAAACGTAGCTGTCGAATTAGGGCTGTTGCTTTTGATCCGGCATGAGAAATATTATTGAGTCGGAAATGAATGTTCAAAATCTATTAGATTATCATTGAATCTGAAAGAAGTAGACTAAATTTAGCGAAATTAAAATATTTTATTTTACATTTTCGGATCGATTAAAATTTTCGTGCAAGTGAAACATTAAATTCATATTCTGCGATGGTCCATTTGGTTGCAAATTTCATCCACAATTTCTTTAATCAATTTCCATCTCTATGATCGAAGATTAAATTAATTTTTCGAAGATATTTGCTGTTTTCGATGAATTGAATGATGGTTTGGTCTTTGACCGAATAACATTTCAAAGATACTTCCGTCAATTTTAAATTAAATTTCGCGAACATGGAAGTTTCAGTATTATTGATATGCCGACCGGTTAATCGAAGTTTGCTTGTATTCCTATTTTGCCCAACGAAATCAATCCATTTGTGACAGTTACTTGGAATAGCGTCGGTTTTAAACTTTTCTAAATTTCCGAAGGTTATATTTTCCGGAACACTTTGGAAACAATGCTCCATTGGAAGTCTTTTCACTCCTGAAATCAATTTGTCGTCGATTGTATGAGAAACCATTTCATTCTACCAATTAATTTCAAGCGTCTCAAGTTCCGTAGAAAATTCTGCTATGCTTACGATTAGCATGCGTTAGATGTATGGTTCGAATTTGTGTATTCTTTTTTAAAAAGCAGCGTCGTCAATGCGGCCAACGTCCTCATGCTGGCTAATATCAATGTATACATAAAGCAGATGGGGGAAATGTCAATTCGATTGACGTTAAATCTAAAATTTTCACATATTCCAAAAACAAACGACGCATTGATGGAAATATGTCATTTACATTTAATAGTTCACCGCCGAACTTATCATACGTGCCATCAATATAAACATCCTCAACTTTTTTGAATGGCATTGTCATGAAGTCAAAAATGTTGCCTTTGTAACTTCTGATGTTGATTCGCATCAAAGTGTCAGAACAGTATAAATTAATCATTTTGGTTATTTGTTTTGTTTTGTTCTTTCGTCATACTTTGAATAATGACCAATTTTAAGGGAAACAATCAAATGTCCGCAATAGCCTTCACTGAAGGCCCTTCAGTCAAAATTTTGAGTCACAGTATAATCATTCCCACCAAAAATAGAATAATAACAAGAGTGTTACGGTTTTTGTTGCTGTCGAGGTTATATTTATTCAAAGATCTACTCATTTATAAACAGCTTGCCTACAAATTTAACGATAATTTACAATTCGAATTCAGTTTTTGAGTAAATAGAAAACATAAAAATTTATTATAAATTATTATTAATCATGTCATTGATATTTATTATTATTGATTAGGCCTTCATCATTGTAATCCTTATTTTGTTAAACATTGAACATTGAAAAAAATATAATTATAAATTGTGAAGGGAATAATATCTAAATAAAAAATGAACAGAAATGAAAAAAAATATTTTTTTCTCAATACTTGATTAAGGAGTAGATAAGCAAATAAGAACGGAAAAAAATTAAAAACAAGTCGAATATGCAATGTCAAATCTTAAAGATTGTTGGTTGCAAAAAAATTGAGACATAAATTGTTAATTGTTTGAAAAAAATTAAAAAGGATGTAACAATTGTAAAAAAAGTAATTCTGATTTTGATTTTGAACTTCGGATAATTTTTCTCAATATAACATCTACATAGCCAGAAGTATTGGTGACAATCGCCGTGCAATATTACGCATTAAAAGATTCCGACGATTCATTTCATTATTCTACTATTCATTCGTTATTCACCCAAATTGACGAGGATCATTTTGTTAACGACGTTTGAAGGCGTAATCATAAACTACAAAAATATTCTCAAAATCCTGAAACTAAACGAAAAAATATCGAAATTGGCTAACGCCAGAAAAATCATTTGGGTTAGGGAACGGGTGTAATTATTTGTAAAACGAGGTGCATCATGTGATGCAACGATATATGAGTTAGAATGCATGTGACCCTATGATATTTTATGACCGAGTAGAAAAAAAGCAAAAGCAACCAAAATTACTATACGCCATTTCATCGAAGCAAAATATTAAACCAAAAAGGTCAATTTTTAATTCCAATTATATATTTCGATCTAATTTGTGAAATTAAATAAACAACTCTGCTATGCTGAGTGTCTCTTTATAACGAAAAAAAGCACTCATTCGTTTTTTTGTGGTTTCACTTTTCATCACATGATTATGATTGAATCAGGCAAATTCAAAGAAAATAAACGAAACATGGATTTGACGTACGAACGAAGAATTCCTGATAGTCAAAGGTTATCGCTAAATTTAAATCAATTATCACATTAAATTACATTCTGTGTGTTCATGCAATAGTTACTATACGTATGTTCAGCGAGGATGTTCTCTACATTGGTCACTCTATTCTAATATTCACATCTATCGTGTGCGTTAGTCGACATGATTTCTTGGAAAGTTAAAATTTGTTTAAAAACTCGCGTAGAAATCACTTTTTTGAGGAACTTTTCCGTTCGTGTCTTGTTGTTTCTTTTCTATTTTTATTTATATTGAAAAACATTCATTGTATCACATTTTCAAGAAATTTAGTAGAAGGAGATACGGACAACTCTCACATTCCATTGCATTCGTTATTTCAACTAATAAATAGATTACCGATTTAAACATATATGTATATTTTCGCACCAAATGTCGAAAGGAAAAGAATTGTGCTAAAAAACGAGATGAACGTATTATTTGTGATCAAATTGTTTGTTACTGCTTTAGCAGGAAGTTCTACTATTTCCGCGGGTAATTCAACACTTTCTAATTCAATTTTTCATCAACATTTTCTACGATAAGTATTTAATTATTGAGCTTTTGTTTTCACACCATACCCACGATTGCAGTAGACGATAAGCGAGATGAAGGGTAAGTTGAACTCTTGTAGTTAACATTCGAAGCAGATTTATCATATGTTAAAACATTTCTAGGTTCCGAATATCGAAAAGAGAAATAAATGAGCTTATAGAGGCCATTAAACAGGGTATGTATGCAATAAATGCGTAAATCCACTTCCACTGCCGAGAGTAATTTGAAAATTATATAAATAGTCTTACCTCCGTAAGACGAACTTTTCCGCATCGTTTTCATGGCGTTCAGCTTTTATTCAGATTTTGCCTAGGAAATTTATAAGAATTTTCAGAAAAAAACATTAGTACGTTCATGTGTTTTATAGAAAATTGTATTATGATTCCGAAAATCTTGATGTTGGGTATTCAAATTAAATAAAACGTCTGATTATCTTTGTTCTTATTGTCGTCTGAATACTGAAAGAATTGGAACAAAATGTGACGAGTCGAAAAAAATACCATTTAAAATAACCACATTTTTCTTGACCAAAATCATAACGCGTCTTTTTAGCACTACATGGAATGTAGAATACATGGAATATAGGCTATTGCATTTGTTTTTTTTTCCCAAGAAATTTTATGACTCTTTAGGACTTATTTTTGGACCGAAAATTAACTCTTCTTTCTATCCAAAGTTCTAATTTGAAATAAAGCAATTACGTCTAATTACAAAAATATAATAATGTTATGTTCATGTAATTCATGTTTGAGATAACTCAAAAAAAAAAATTTAATATTATTTTAATTCTCAATGTGAACTAATGTACAATCCACGTTCACATTATCGTTCCCAAAACTAAAATAAAATAATTAATTATACCATAATTTATTTAATTAATATAAATATATTAATCTTTATTTATTTATCTATATGATTTATAACCAAATTTTTTAATGTTTCTCCTATATATTTAATTTTTTCAAAGTACGGCAATTTAGTGAAAGATTTGTCTAATGAACTTTTTGATGTTATTCCTTTAACAATGATTATTAAATTAAATAAAGCAATTACTCCACAAGAAAGGTCATCTTCTTGAGTAATAAATGATTCTTTGAAATGTATATAATTTTTTGGATTGTTTAAAAATGGATATAGTCTTTCAATTACCTCCAGTTGTTAACGTTTCTTCTTTTTAACAATTTGAACATTTTCAAATGCATTCTCTATTACATTTTTTTTACGCTTTCTGGTTTCAGTCACAGGTTCAACTTTGATTTTTTTGGTTTTTTTGCTTTTTGAACTCTCAGATTTCCTCTTCTTGACTGGACAACGTTCATTAACTATTTCCAACATGATTTCTTCAATTTTGAGGTCTTCAGAAAAAATACCGTCTGATTCGAACATAATTAATTTTGATAAATAATTCCTTAAAATTATAACAAGTATACTTCGATTGAAACTACATTCCATGTAGTGCTTGAATGAATAATTTGATGGAAATATCAAATTAACATAAAAAGCAATTGAGATAACGCAAAAAGAACGCAGAGAGGAGCGTAGCGACGATCTGCGGTCTTGTTTTACATTGTATTTATATGGCAGTCCTTCGAATCCATAGAACAACATGAATGAGCGAAGGAGTGATTTGAAACTCTCATACAAAAGCGCGATTTTTAACAAAATTAAGAACAAAAAATGCAAGAAATTTTGAATTATTATACCGATTTGATACGAAAAAGGTAGGTTAGCGGGTACTAGGTTGTTCCTGGGCCCCTAATTTTATGAAATAAATCGGGTGGGCATGATAAAACCCACCTGGGTAGCCTATTTTGGGTACTTTCCGAACAAAAGTTCGATTTTTCAAGGAATTTTGAACTAACATACCGATTTGATACCAAAAAGGTGGGTTAGCGGGTGCTAGGTTGTTCCTGGCCCCTATTATTTTGAAGAAATAAATCGAGTGGGAATGATAAAATCCACCTGGGGAGCCTATTTTTGGTACCTCCCGAACAAAATTTCGATTTTTTGAAGGTTTTTCATAGGCTAGGTATCCTAGGGTACATCTGAGGTGGCTGAAAATTTAATGATTTTCAAGTCTAAAGAAGCACAAACGTTTGGTACTTGCAGAATTTCATTTCTGTTGGAAGCACAAACAAAAGCTGAAATAACGCCTTCATTTATGCTT